GCAGAGTGTGCCGAACTTTACCCACTATGCCATCAGGGCTGAAGTTTTTTTTTAACATCCATCAGACCACTCTGTGTCTTTTGGTAGGACAATTTAATCTGTTTACATTTAACGTAATTATTGACACGTAAGGACTTATTATTGCCATTTTACTTTTTTCTGACTGTTTTGTAGTTCCTTTGTTCTTTTCTTCCTCCCTTGCTGTTTTCCTTTGTGACTTGTTGATTTCCTTAGTGGTGTGCTTTGATTCCTTTGTATCTTTCGAATATGTATTAGAGGTTTTTTCCTTCATGTTTACCATGGGGCTTACATAAAACATCTAATAACAGTCTATTTCAAGCTGATGACAACTTAACTTCAAGCACATACAAAAACTCTACACTTTTACTTTTTCTCCCTCCTGCAACATTTTATGCTTTGATGTCACACTATATCTCTACATTGTGTATATGTTAAAAAATTATTATAGCTTTAGTTATTTTAATTTTCTCTTTTAACTTTTATCTCAGAGTTAAAAGTGATTTACCTACCACCATTACAGTCTTAAAGTATTCTGAATTTGAGTATATATTTACCTTTACCAGTGAGTTTTATACTTTCATCTGTTTTTATGTTGTTACTTAGCGTCCTTTTGTTTTAATTTGAAGAACTCCCATTAGCGTTTCTTGTAAACCAAGTCTAGTGGTGATGAATTCCCTCAGCTTTCATTTGTTGTGGAATATCTTTCTCTCTCCATTTCCGAAGGACAGCTTTGCTGCATATAGTACTCATGGTTGGCAGTAGTTTTTCTTCCAGCATTCTGAATATATCATCCTAATCCCTCCTGTCCTGCAAGGTTTCTGCTGAGAAATCTGCTGATAAGCCTTATCAGAGTTCTCTCGTATGTGATGAGTTGCTTTTCTCTTACTGTTCTCACAATTTTCTCTCTCTCTGACATTTGACAATTTGATTATACTGTGTCGTGGGGTAATCTTCTTTGGGTTGATCTTGCTTTGAGACTTTTAAACTTCACGAATCTGAATGCCCAAATCCCTCCCAGGATTTGGGACATCTTCAGCCATTATTTCTTTAAATGAGCTTTCTGTCCCTTTCTCTCTTTCTTCTCCTTCTGAGACTCCCATAATGCATATATATATTCATTTGATGGCATCCTGTAGGTCCCTTATGCTTTCTTCACTCTTTCTTCTTTGTTCCTCTAACTGGTTACGTTCTAATAATCTGTCTTTGAGTTTGCTGATTCCTTATTCTGTCTGATCAAGTCTGCTGTTGAAGCTCTTTACTGAGTTTTTTTTCTTTATTGAGGCCAAATTGGTATACAACATTATATAAGTTTCAGGTGTACAACACTATAATTCACTATTTGCATACACTACAAAGTGATCACTGCCACAGTCTGGTCACCATCTGCCAACATACAATTGACCACCTTCCCCTCTGGTAACCACCACTCTGTTCTCTGTATCTCTGAGTTTGTTTTTGTTTTGTTTGTTCATTTGTTTTGTTTTTAGATTTCACACAAAAGTGAAATCATACTACATATACCTTTCTCTGACTCATTTCATTTAGCCTAATACCCACTAGGTCCATCCATGCTATCACAAGTGGCAAGATATCCCTTTTTTTGGGGGGGGGGGTGGTGGTGAGGAAGATTGGCCCTAAGCCAACATCTGTGCCAATCCTCCTCTATTTTGTATGTGGGATGCCCACCACAGCATGGCACAGTGAACAGTGTGCATGTCTGTGCCCAGGATCTGAAGCTGTGACTCCCAGGCCACCAAAGCAGAGCACACAAACTTAACCACTATGCCACAGGGCTGGCCCTGTTTCCTCTTTTTTATGGCTGCATAGTATTCCACTGTGTGTGTGTGTGTGTTTGTGTGTGTGTGTGTGTCTGTGCATATATACATACCACATCTTCTTTATCCATTCATCAACAGATGACACTTAGATTGTTTCCATATCTTGGCTATTGTAAATAACGTTGCAATAAACATAGGGGCACCTATTTTTTTTTGCATTGGTGTTTTCATGTGCTTAGGATAAATACCCAGAAGTGGAATAACGGGATCATATTGTAGTTTCACTTTTAATTTCTTGAAGAATATCCATACTGTTTTCCATAGTGGCTGCACTAATTTTCATTCCCACCAACAATGTACAAGGGTTCTCTTCTGTCCACATACTCTCCAACACTTGCTATTTCTTGTCTTTTTGATAACAGTCATTTTGACAGGTGTAAGGTGATATCTCATTGTGGTTTTGATTTTCATTTCCCTGATAATTAGTGATGGTGAACATCTTTGCATGTGCCTGTTGGGCATCTGTATGTCTTCTTTCGGAAAATATCTATTCAGATCCTCTGTTCATTTATTAACTGAGTTGTTTGTTTTTATGTTAAGTTGAATGAGTTCTTTATATAATTTGGATATTAACCCCTTCTTTGATATATGATTTGCAAATATCTTCTTTCATTCAGCAGGTTGCCTTTTCATTTTATTCATGGTATCCTTTGCTGTACAGAAAGCTTTTCAGTTTGATGTAGTCCCATTTGTTTATTTTTTATTTTGTTTCCCTTGCCTTTGGAGTTAGATCCAAATAAAAATCTCTAAGATCAACAGCAAGGAGCTTATAGCCTATGTTTTCTTCTACAAATGTTAGTTTCATCTCTTACATGCAAATTGTAATTCATATTGAGTTAATTTTTTGTGTATAGTGCAAAACAGTGGTCTAGTTTCATCCTTTTGCATGTGGCTGTCCAGTTTTCCCAACACCATATATTGAAGAGACCATCCTTTCCCCATTATACATTTTTGGCTCTATTGAGTTTTCCAGTTGAGTCATTGTATTTTGTATCTCCAGGGTTTCTGTTTAGTTATTTTTAATGGTTTCTATTTCTTTCTTAAACTTCTCATTTTGTTCATGTATTGTTTTCTTGATTTTGTTTAGTTGTCTATCTGTGTTCTCTTGCACCTCACTGAGCTTCTTTAAGATGATTATTTTGAATTCTTTGTCAGGCAATTCATAGATCTCCACTTCTTTGGGGTCAATTACTAGATCTGTATTAGTTTCCTTTGGTGACGTCAGGTTTGTTTGCCTGATTCTTTGTGATTCATGTAGCACTGTGTCGTGTCAGTGCATTTGAAGGAGATTTAAACACCTCTTCTAGTCTCCAAAGACTGGTTTTGACAGGTAAAGACCTTCTCCCCAGGTCCCTGGGCTGATGATATTTCTTCTGGGATCATAGTTGAGTGGGGTTGAGGCTGGGTCATTTGGCTGCTTCTGGGTCTGCCATGGTGTCCATGATTGGTGGGCCTGTTACCAGGGGCTTGGGTATGGATTCTGCCTGGTCCCTGGGTGGATAGAACTGCTTTCAGGACCTTGGTCAGCAGGACTGGAGGTGGGGCAAGGGTCCACTTCTGGCTCTGCAGTTGGGTCTACGGATGAATTGCTTATTTCCAGGGGTGGATGGGCATTGCCCCTGTTGGGTCCCTCGATGGGCAAGACTAGCTCTGAACTGCAGCTGAGTGCAGCTGTAACTGAGTCACAGGGATGTTTGAAGGTCTGAAGTCAGGACCAAGGCCTGCAGGCCTGCCTCTGGGGGCACAGATGGGTGTGTTTCCCATCAGGTCTCTGAGTAGGCAGGACATTTCCCTGACTGAGGCTGGGAGTAGCTGGAGCTGAGTCACAGGACTGCTTCAGGATCTGAGGTTGGACTAAGGTCACTAGGCCTGCCTCGGGGGCATGTACAGGTGTGTCTCCTGCTGGATCCCTAGGCACACAGGACTGCTCCTGGACCATGACTGAGAGAGGCTGGAGCTGGTTCACAGGCTGTTTCAGGGTCCAGAGCTGAGACCAAGGTCAGCAGGCCTGTTACCTGAGGCACGGGCACGCCATGTATGGCTCCTCCCAGGTCCCTCGGCACAGCTCAGTGGTGGCTGGACCAAAGCCAATGGGACCAGAGGTGAGGCTGAGTCTACAGAGGATGGTGATATCTCCAGGTCTGTAGCCAGGACCAAGGTTGGTGAGTTTTATTAGTAGGTGTGGGTCTGGCTTCTCAAAACAACCCACCTCGGGCTTGGGCTCCACTGGAGTTTCGCAAACTCTTACCTGGATCCCAGAGTTCCCACAAAGGCACTTTTGTCTGTGGATGGCTGCCAAACTATTGTTGCTGTGGGGAGATAGGATGGGGTAGCTTCTCTTCCACCATCTTGCTTATGTCACTTCCTCTGTGTTGTTTTTGTAGTTCTATGAGTCATTTTTAAACTTTTAAAAAATTTTATTTTGAAAGTTTAATGGATTAGGGCAAGGGATTTAAAATCAACTCTGTGCAGCTTTGAGAATTACGCAGTAATTAACTTAATTTTTACATTACTTTTAAATATGCTTTTTAATCAAATACTTATAAAAGTTTAATTTTTCCCAAGATCCATGAATAAAATGGGAATCAAATACTTAGGTATGATTTCTCTCAATCAGTTTGGTAGGAGTCTTTTCTGGCACAAACAAGGATCTATCCCAGATTCCAACTTTATGAAGTCAAACACAATACAAACAAAAGCAATTCAGGTCTAAAGGAATTCATGAAGGAAGCTACACCTGAACAAACCAAATTAGGAATGCTGCCTTTATGTAATCTCATAAATTCACGGGAACACCCAATCCTCTAAGGCTTGAATCTCTAGAGAACAGGTACTAAAATAAAAACAAATTAAATAAAATAAAAAAGAGTCAGAATTTTAGAATAGCAAAGAAAAATACTGCCTTTGTTCCAACTTTAAATATAAAAATTGTATGATTACTTGACTATTTTAACTGTATTATAAGTACTTTATCTGTCTCTGTCTCTCTCTCGATATATATTTCAACCAGTAGATGCCATTCTTAGCATTTTCTCTCCATGTTTCTAGCAGCACTTTGGATGATGAGAAGATTAGTATAACAATCAGAGCCCAAATAAAAACAACTACACGGTGAGATGGCTGGCCGTGGGTCTCACTCACCTCCCCACGCAGTGGCTCCTCCGGAAGGTGGTGCTGGTGCTGGTGCCGCGGCTGCTGCCGCCCCTGCCGAGGAAAAGTCTGGCTGGAGGTCCAGCAGATCGCTGGATGGTTTAGAAGCGCTGAAAGGAAAATAGGATTTTAAGATCAGATCTTGAAATTTTATAATGTAAAGATGATTTTAAATAAAGACTTACACAGAAAATATCAAAGACTTTGGATATTTTAAATCTAATAAGAGAACAATATTTTGGAAAATACAGCTGTATAGCACACATTCTTCTATACCAAGAGTTCGCAAACTACTTTTATAAAAGGTTCAGATGCTAAGTATTTTAGGTTTGCGGGCTAGACGGTTTCTATCAATACTCAACTCTGTCATTGTAGCATGAAATAAGACATAAATGACATGTAAACAAATGAATGTGCCTTTGTTCCAATAAAACTTTATTTACAAAAACAGACAGCAGGCTAGATTTGACCCATGGCCATAGTTTGCCAACTCTTGCTCTATAGACAATAACAAAGTTACATCATACTTCAAGCAATGGGTCACTCAACAAACCGTAGAGCAGAAATGAAAAAGGAAAACCTAAATGCCTCAACGTAAGGGGGAATTTTCCTGAACATGTTATGTCCACTGGGTAGCATTTGATATGATGGTTATGAGGACAGTGACAAAAGGAAACATACTCCAAATGTTAAAGGTATTAGGGTAGGATGATTATTGATAATTTTCTCCTTTTCTCTATTTTTAAAAAATTTTAGTATGGAAAAAAGTTCTTGTCTTGAAAAGAATTAATTTGTAAACCAAAGAATATTAAAATGAATAGTTGCTAATGTACCTTTTCTCTAAATTAAACTGCAACACATCAACTTTGCCAGTAAGAGGCCTCACCTACAAATACTTCTCTATTTTTTATTCTTCTTCAGTTGCGGCTGTGCTTTTCAAAGCTCTTCCATCTCTAGAAGCTCCAAGGAGGATCCTAGAGCTTTACTATTCAAAGTGTGGTCCCCAAACAGGTAGCATCCTGGGACCGTGTTAGAAATGCAAAATCTCAGGCATACCTTATATCTGCTACATCAGGATCTTCACTTTAACATGACCCCAGATGCTTCCCATGTACATTCAGGCTTCAAGAGCACTGGCCTAAAGGTTACCAGACAGGTACTAAGCCATGAGGGTCCCAAGGTTCCCCATGCCATCTGGTAAACAGCAGTTCCATCTTTATCTTTTTTACATATTAGATTTTGAGGTAACACTCTTTTGAGAAAAAAAATTTGCTGCTTTAAAAAAAAGTTTCAAAATCTCTGAAACTTGCCAAGTTTTGATGTCCATTTCATAAACACAACTAGTCTAAGTGCCAGCATAGGGAAACATATTTACTATTAAGACCTGAATCGAAGCTTTTATTAGAAGCAATTTCTCTTAGTATAGAGGCAGAAAGGACTTGGTTTTACCAACTCTGCTATCATAAAAAGCAAAACTAACCAAGTAGAGGGTAACACACATAGTTACATGGGTTTACTAGTTGGATTTATCGCTCAGTTCAAAATTCAAGTCTCCAAATATAGGGCATTTATAATCAGAGTCACAGATACTACAAAGTGAGACCTGAATCCTCTCAAGGGAAAAGAACCAACTGAAGAGTTGACGTAAAATTACTCTGTGAGGAAGCCCTGTGAGTTGGGGCTTCGTTGTGGGCAGCCCTGAGATTTTGCCGCATGCCTGGTCACCCACTTTCTCACTTGTGTTCTGACTGTAGGTGCTGTAAAAGCTGCTCAGGAACACTCGGACGGTCTCTTCCTACCACTAGAGTTTGAGTTCCTCAGATGAGTTGCTCATTACCAGCTAACTGGCCTACAACTGCAAGTCTGTCTTTTTTAAAAAGTACTTTAAGACATCCTTTAAATTTCCCACCAGAACATCTACTTTTGGAAAACATTTTCCCTATCAGCCAAGTTCAGAAGAACCTTAAGTATGTGCATCATTCTTGTACTTCCTTTCCCAGCGGTGTGAGCTACAGGGTGATCTCCACAGCTTAGCTCTTTCTGATGCTTTGATAGGGGCAGCCTAAGTAACTGCATGAGGTACAAAAAAACTGAACTTATGTACACAAAAATAACCCAAATATCACACGTTAGGACTAGATTTCATGTCCCAAAATCATTTGTGTTCAGCACATAAAAATAAAACACAAACTTCATCAAAATATTCATAAACAGTTCAGTGCATACTTATAAACTAACCTGACTGGGACAGCCGCAGATGCAGTTGCAAATAAATCAACTGGTGGGGATGTGTCAATAGTTTTAGCTGGTGTAGAATTCGGAGACGTAACGGTTGTGGCTGGAGAAGACTGAAAGCGAAGACGCACAACATATTCCAGTTAAATATGAATCTACACCACACAGAGCAACAGGACTCCCACTCTGCAGACCCACAGCATTCCCAGCAATTTTCTGGTAATTCCTCATGGGAGAAAAAAACTCAAGAAAATTTGAAATAGAGATTGTAATATATAATCAATATTGGACGAGACATCTCTCAAATTTTAAAAGTTAAATGTAATTTATATGAAATTATGATAAAAATATTTGGCCTAATATTGTAATGACTTCTGTTCTTGTACTTAAAATCAAAGCTAAACGTATTTTCTGAATATAAAATTAGCAGGAAAGATCTCACTAGCTGCCCCAAATTTTTTAAATTATCAATTGTAATAACTGCCATAAAACCAAGGCCATTCTTTTTCCAATGCATCCTAAATGGACTTCATGTGAGGTCATCTCAGATAGCTTTAAATCAAGAAATCTAATTTACAAAGTAGTTTGCAGATGGCAGAGAATAATTCACAAAGAAGATTCAAGCCACCGACAGCTTGAGGATATCAGAACTTTATCCCATCACTAATATGACAGAGAGAAAACCAAAAACATGAACTAAAGCCTAACATTTATTAACTTGGACTGGTTTATTTTTTAAGAAGAGGGCTTAACCGTTAATATATTAAAAAATTAAAAATTAAAATTTTTGTTTAGTAACTATTCTAATTCTACTTTCTTTTATTTGGTATATTTAATTCCCCAAGTATTCACAAGAGAAAGATTAATGCAACATCTCAAAACAGTACGCCAGTAGTTCTGTAAGTGGAAATGAGATATAACAGCAAGCAAAATACACAAAGACCAAGACCAGGCAAGGCCATCAGATACTGCTGTAACTGGACATCTGATTTCAAACAGCCTAACCCTAAAGTAAGTCGTAAAAAGAATAACTTAAGAAAAAGGACTGACGAGATAAGAAATGGACAGGAGTTTCCAGACATAAACAGTATTTGTCTGTTATCTATTTGTCCAAGAATACAACTAATCAAGACATCAAAATTCAATAGATATACCAGTGCCAAGCACGCAGCACTTCAAGAAAGACAAGCACATGCGCAGTATGGATACTGCTGCTCAGAAAATGTCAACTCAAGCTTCCCCCTTCAGAAAAATTCGAATTTTCCAAATGGAACGTGAAAGATTATCAAGGGAATAGAAAAGACTAACAAAAATTAATTTGCACGTCATCCATTGTGGACACTGAAAACTCCTCTAGAAGAAATCAGTTTTTTTTTAAACCAATACATGTAAATACGCTTAGAAAGTAACGCTTATGAAACACCACTTAATGACAGCAATGAATCTGCTAACATAAATGCAGAAACGAACGTCTTCAAAGACCCATTAAAAACTGCCTTGTAACAATAAGCTCTGAAATGGTGAGAGAGCTAGGAAAACAGAACCAAAATAATCCTGTTGTTATAAAAAGAGAAAGTCAATAAAATTCAATTTGGCCAAAAAGTAGAAACAGACCATCCCAAAGGAGCCCTTAATTTTACCACACTCTACTCAGCAGTCATATGTTGGAATTTTTCACTCAGACATAATGATTTTAAACCCGGCTTTGTATCAAAATTACCAGGGAGCTGTTTGTTTGTTTGTTTGATTTGACTGTTTGTTCGAGCTCCCTGAGGGAATCAAAGGCAGCCAGCCAGGTGGTGGCACAGTATAGGGCCTCTGGGAACCACCAACGCCGTCCTGAGGAAATCCTTCCTGTCTGTAATAACTGCAATTATAACGGAAATTTGTCAAAGAGGAAAGAGCATGTTTAGTAGAGTTTCGCCTGAAAAATACAATGGCAAATGTGAACTACAGACATATAGAAGTAAATACTCTCGTCACTGACAACCCTAATCCTGTCCTTCAACATGCTAAAAGAGAGATAGGGAGGAGGAGTTATTAAATTATTATGTAGACCGTCTAAAAGGCTTGCCCGTGGAAAGACACCCAACTACAACTGATTTCTCTACCATTAAAACACCCACAATATTACGTGCCTTATTTCTCTCACAAAGCCATGATTCAGAGGATGTGAAAGTGCTCTGTAACTAGTCAAACATTACACTGACATATTTGTTTTCAGTTGTAATATAAATGTATGAAAATTTCTCCTACTTAAAAATTTAGTTCAAATAGAGGACTAAGTAGACACTGCTATACTATACTGGACTGAGAAACTAAAGGAGAATACATAAAAACTTACCTTCCCATCCTCAAAAACTTAAAAATAAAATTACCATATGATCCAGAACTTGCACTTCTGGAATATATACTGGAAAGAATTAAAAGCAGGGACTTGAACAGACATTTGTACCCCATGTTCACAGCAGCATTATTCACAATAGGCAAAAGTTGGAAGCGGCCCAAGTGACCATTGGGGGACGGACAGATGGATGAACAAACTGTGGTATACATACAAGGGAATATTATTCAGACAGAAAAACGAAGGAAATTCTGACATCTGCTACAACACGGATGAACTTTGAAGATTCTATGCTAAGTAAAATAAGCCAATCACAAAAGGACAGACACTGGGGGGTGCCATTTATTTGCAGTACCTAGAGCAGTCAAACTCATAGAGATGAAAGCAGAGTGGTGGTTGCCAGGGGCTGAGAGCGGGGGAAGTTAGTGTTTAAAGGGTGCAGAGTTTCAGTTTTGGAAGATGAAAAAGTTCTAGAAATTGATGATAGTGATGGTTGCACAACAATGTGAATGTACTTAATGCCAGTGAACTGTATACTCAAAAACTGTTAAAAGGGTCAAAACAAAATAAAAAACCATCTTACCTTACTTAATGGAGAGGGAGCACCAGATCTAAAAGGGAACCAAGAAAATTAAAACTGAATACACATAAACACGTTTATAGAAGCACTTAAGTTTGATATCACTTGGTCAAGTATTAACTAGTTAATATATAGATGTTCTTTGTTAGTGCCCTGGAGTCAATTCCAACTCCTGGTGACCCCGTGCACAGCAGAGTGCAACCCTGCCCGGTCTTTTTGCACCATCCTCTCACCTTCCAGTGCTCTATCAGACAACGCTCCGCTGCTATTCATGGGGCTTTCATGGACAGTGTTTTGCAAGTGGGTGGTCAGTTCCCTGCCCCTAGTCTGTCTTATTACGGAAGGTCTGCTGAAACCTGCTGGGATCTGAAACAGTGGTGGCAGAGCTTTCAGCATCACACAACACACAGCCACCACAGTCTGACAACCAGTGGACGGGTGGTGTGGTTCCCTGACAAGAACAAACCCGAGCTGGGCAGTGAGAACGCTGAATCTTAACCACTAGACCACCGACAGACTTTTTTAGTAATGGATAAACTATTTTTTAAAAACATTTTTATCTTTTACTCAACTATGACATGCTCTTCCAATGTTTTCCATTCACTTAATTTCTAGTACTACAAATTCCTAAATTTGAAATTTTTTCTGTATCTCCAAAAACTCAATTCTTTGAGTTGATCATTATTGCCTGTGTCCATCAAAAATAAAGTGTCCAAATTGGAACTTTAAAAGTTTTGCCAAGACTTAGGAAAAATAATGCTTTATAGAATTTTTTAAAAACTCTTTGGTTTATTATTTTAAAAAGGTAGAAAACTCATTAAGGTTAAAGTACAAGGGGCTGGCCCTGTGGCTGAGTGGTTAAGTTCGTGATCTCTGCTTCGGCGGCCCAGGGTCTCACCAGTTTGGATCCTGGGCGCAGACCTAGCACCGCTCGTCAAGCCACGCTGAGGTGGCATGCCACATGTCACAACTAGAAGGACCCACAACTAAAATATACAACTATGTACTGGAGGGCTTTCGGGAGAAGAAGGAAAAATAAAAAATAAAATCTTTAAAGTACATTGTGATTCATTTAATCATAACTGTGATAGAAAAAAGGAACCCTAGAAAAAAAAAATAAGACCCTAGGAGCACGGTGCCTGAAATGTTTCCCAACGTTCACACGTATACTCCTGAAGTTTGTCTGTTTTTTTCATGGCTGTAATGAAAACTAGGAAAAATATTCCCATTAACAGTGAGAGCTTGAAAAACAACAGGAAGCTCCAGGCTTGGTTCTAAGGGAGTGAGGGACAATTAGGAAGGAGCAAATTTTTTTTTTTATTTAGATTTCTGGTAGCACTGACTACTGTACATCATTTCTAGCTAAGTGTTTCAGAAATAAGGGCCGAAACAGCTTATATTTTACTGAGTTGGTGGAAAATGAATCAGTAATAAAATGAAATGAAGACAAAAATACGTTTCGGTAAGAAGCCTACTGTCAGGGTCTTCTGGGATGGCAGGGGTGGCTTCCTACTCATCTGCAGAGAAAGTGTCAAACGTAGCAGCAGGGAAACAAAATTAGCAGAGGTTTAGTAACTGGAATCTTGTACAATATCATGAATTTTTGTTGTATTGCGTGTAGCAAAAGAACTTTAGCAGTGTTATATGCCAGATGAATACCTTTTATGTTCAACTTCATTTGTAAATACACGCCTGCCATTTCCCATTTAAGTTCAGTTTTTACTGAAAACGAATGTAACGTAAAGCAAGGACACACAGAGATTTCTGCTATGTAATGAAAATGGAAGCCTAAGTCACACTCAACTTGGTTATGTGTGGTTTGGCTAAATGTTATCTCTAGAGTAACATGTCCTATGAGGAAAAGGACGTATGTTGATCTGTACTGCTCATCAAAGGGTCTGTGCATCGAATGGATCACTGTGTTCTCTGTGTCCACGGAAAGTTACTTAAGAACCTGAGAATCTGTCCAGTGTAAGGTTGAAAATTCTCTAATCAGTTTTTGGCTAATAATTTCTCCACTCCTACTATTTCTTCTCTTTACATATGAGGACAAGGGAGTTGCTTCTAAATAAAAACCTAAGAAAATAATAGCCTCAACTTTGCAAAGAAAACATAAAACCCATTTAATATGGTCGCTTTCTAAGAATGAATTAATTGAAATTAACTTGTTTATCTCTCAAGTGATTTTCAAGAACCAATTCTTAGCGGTACTAACACAATGAGAAATATTAACACAGAAGAGTATTGAGGATAAGCAATATATTTTTGAAATATATCTGCAAACTAATATATAAAAATTTCTAACATAGACTAGACTCTGTAGCAAAAATAAAGGTACAGTAAAAATGACAGAATTGCTCTACCAGCTATTAAAGAATATCACGCTCAAACCTAGGTACAAAATATCAAAACTGGCACAAGAACTGCTTTGCCAAGCTCCTGCCTGGACACTACTACTAAACGACACCGTGGTAACCCCATGGATTCAGCAAACAAATGAAAACCTCCTCCCATCTCTCTCCAGCTCTCACCCCACTGACCACATTGCATCTTGTCTGTTTAATTGTCTGTCTTCTCCACTAGATGCTAAATCTGAAGGAAGGGAACCCCTCCCATTGCTTTACATGCCCAGCACTCTATCTAGCACCTGGCCTTCTGTAGGCACTGAAATATATTTCTGTACTATTTTAATTTTAAAATGAGAATGCATTCACATACTCTTTGCATAAAAAATAAATTAACCAAAAGTCTTAAAAATTACTTTGTGTGAAATTGAACTGTCAGGATGTGTGATCCATGTTTCCAGGGACCAGATTCAGCCCTTGCTATGATTTCACTGAAAAGGTGAGAATCAGAGGTGCTCCCACTGGGGCCGTAGCTTTAAAAAGCATCATTAATCACTGATTAAAATCTGAGGGCTCATGGGACCAGCCTGGTGGCACAGCCGTTAAGTTCCCATGTTCAGCTTCGGTGGCCCAGGGTTCACTGGTTCGGATCCTGGGTGTGGACATGGCACCGCTTATCAAGCCATGCTGTGATAGGTGTCCCACATAAAAAGTAGGGGAACTTGGGCACGGGTGTTAGCTCAGGGCCAGTCTTCCTCAGCAAAAAGAGGAGGATTGGTGGCAGATGTTAGTTCAGGGCTAATCTTCCTCAAAAACCAATCAATCAATCAATCAATCTGAGGGCTCTGAGGATCAGAGAAATAAATAACTTGTCAAGGTCTTATTCTTTAATGGTAGATTTAAGACTCCAGTCCAAGTCTGTCTGATGCCCAGAGCCTGGGCTTGTTTCACATTCCAGCCTGTCCTGACAGAAACACAGAGGAGTCCAGGACATTTGTTCCTCTCTTACACATCACATAACTTGCTTCTTTTTATCTGTTGCTCGCTTGATTTCTACGCTACCACTGGTCATTTGCCCTTTATAAAAGAAAATACTACAATCTTTTATATATAGATGATAACATTTATTAAAGACCAGTACTGATTTTAATAATTTCAGCTAGAGAAATCTAGTACAAAGTGAATCGTGTTGGGAAAAACAAAGCACAGATATAATTTTAAAAGAGAATGAATGACTCATGTAGTAATCTACCCTAAATTCTTTAAACTGCTACAAATAAACCCATGAGTTTTTATGATGAACATAGCAAATAACAAGGTTTACTTCCAAGATGTTAATAGTAAGCTATTAAAGACGAAATTTTGTTATTTCTTATTCACAACAATAATCCCTACATACTTCTAATTATAAACGCTGGCCAGAAAAATAAAAAAAAACAAAACACAGACGCAAGAAACCTATCTACGTCTTCCAAATAATTTTCATTACAATAGACTTATCTTGGGTTTCCTGCACCCTCAATACTTAGTAAACACACATGTAATATAAAATCAATTTCTCTCTTTGGTTCTATGGAATCATAGAAGGAGACAATAGACAAAGGCATCTTACAGAGTATTGCATAAATTTTCAAAAATGAATCTCAGTGGATATAAGGCACTAAATATAAAGGGCATACATATTTTTTATGGTAGACATTTGAAAATGCTTGATTTTACACATTTACTTAACTTAGAAGTTAGAATAGTTTTATACTGCTACTAGAAGACAAAGAAAACAACTTTAAGCAATTAATTTTCTTCATAATGTTGCCTTTTGGCACTTCTGCCATATGTCATGGGAAAATCTTTTGTTTACTAAACAAATGAAAAAATCTTTGAGAGATTGTTAGTCTTGATCCAATAAGACCAAAATTAAGTAAAACTATTTATGCCAGTCACCTTGGGAGACAAATAAAAAAAGTATAATGAAAAAACATAGATGTGCAAAATTGACAGAAATCAGTTTTAAATGTTCCAAAATACCGAATGTGGAATCTTAAGAGTGTTTTTTGCATTTTCAGCAATAACCAAATGCAAAAAAGTCACTCAATATAGTACTCACCCTTCACTTAAGTTCCCAGGTAAGCACAAACATACAAAGAAGAAAATAGTTAACTACTATATTCATTTATTTTAAAAATAGGGAATAAGTAAAAGACAAGTTCATATGTGGTCTCAGCCAATTTAGAAAAGAAATCTGACAAGCATAAAATTATTTTAAAGGAGAGAGAAAAACTATGTTCAGCAAAAGGTAATTCAAAACAGAAGATCATCAAGTTTTTATTTCACTACTCTTAGAAATATTAACTACATGTTTCAAAAATAGTTTGCAGCAGCCACAAGGGGGCGAACTGAGATCTGATGTTAGGGCTAATGGAATCCACTCCAGAAGGCAGCCTCTCCGGTGACGGCAGCACTGGCAGATGTAACAAAGGGAGAGCATGGATTTGTGCAGGGGTGGGTGACCTTGTGGGGGAAAGAGTGCAAAGAAGTTGACTTTCACTGCCCAAGACAGAGGCTCTAACTCTTGGGGAAATGCATATTTCCAGAGCTAAAAAGGTCCTTCTGCCACAGGAGCAGGGATATGTCTCAGGCTTCCTGCCTCCTTTTTCTTAAAGACTAGGCAACTCACTTGGCTTCCCAGATATCCTAATACACAGTGGCCCCAACATAACCGGAAGCGGGCATCTTCTATTGTGACTTAATGCACTGTCATATCTTTTTAGTTGACATCAATCTATCCATAAAAGTCTGACCATCCACGGCCCCACTGAAGTGAGGACGGACACTAGACTGTGGCAACAACCTTGGTAGAGCCCCTGAGAGGTCCTGCCATCCATAATTCCAAACAGCTCTGTTATAACTGCCTGAGAGGTTCCTACACTGTTATCATCGAAAACATAAAACATGCAATAATTTTTATACTAACTTGGAAAAGGTGACAGAAACAACACTTAGCTAATGAAACGAGCAAAAAAGGAACATCAAGACATGGTCTAGATTCTGGGAGAATGTCCAGAGAGAAGAAAGCAGACAGGAGTTGCATTTTGATAGCTGTATCGTAGGTAAAATCCATCATCAGCTAGAGCCCTGCAACGATCAGTTCATAGGTTGTCTCTGCTAACTTTCTGCTGTCAATCTAAATAAATGGAATAAACATAAAGCTGGGATCATCAACAAAGATAGATTTCAAGTTGACTCTGCAGAGAAAGCAACATTAAGTGTTTAGGTGGAGATAATGAAGCATAAAATTGTCCCTGACCTTTAGAATCAGAAAATCTACTTAAACCACATATGCGACTAAAAAAAAGCCACAACACAGGGCAGTGATGGAGTAAGGAAGGCTTCCTGAGATGGCCCTCCCAGGATGTGTAAGGTTTACAGAGACGAGGAGGGTAGCACCTACGACCAACAGAATTACAGACTGAGCAAGGAACCAAGACGGGAAAGCTCTTGTGAATAGACAAGTTTGACACCTGCTGGAGAGGAGAAAAGAAATGGAACCTGGACATCTTTTACATGCGATGAGGAAAAACAGTCAAAAATGTAAGTGCCCCCAAATAAAGGTATGAAAATCCAGGAAAACCGCATTTACTGCCGCTTGATTGCTATTCTCTGTATAAAAAGATCCCTGAGTAAAATGGCAGCAGCATGCCATGCTGAATAGTTCAAGTGGGGAGAGTCTGGAGTCTAGAAAACTATACTTGAGGGCTTTACTTTTTTCACAGTGTGGTTGGTAACATAACAGAATGTTCAAGGCTGCTGATGAAATTGTGCTCGTTTTTACTCATGCCCAATGAAAACAGCCTTAATTTTTAAACATGAGTAACTCTTCTTCTGTGTATTATGAATCCTTTCCAAGGGCAAATATATAAATCAGCAAGTTCAGTCAACAGAGGTACAACCTACTAATTTGCTGTATTTGCCTGCAGACAGATTGCCTGTATGTGGGGTCACACTGTCGTAAATTAATGGGAAGGATGGGGCTTTTGAGGGAACCCAGAAGAATTACAATAAAGCATATCCTAAAATTATAATAGTATAAGTTGTACCGTGATAAATCTCACTTGTATAAAGAAGGATTCTAGCATTTTTCATCTTATTTAAAATATATAACTAATGCGTACTTGTTTCCGGGTTTCTTTCCTTCTAATGTATTTAGATGCTGTTCAAGGGTCTCCATAAGACTGCTGGGAGCCTACAATAAGAAAGTAAAAATGAATGTCTGCATCGCTTTCTTTCAAAGTAACTACACTGGAACATTGCTGTAAGTTTGCATGGTGGAGGTCTGTGGGTGGACCCCAACACATAAGTGAGATAATTTCATTCCAGGTTATTTTGGTATTTGGTTATTGAAATTTCATAAACTCTCAGGCAGGCCCATCTTACATATACTTAACTCCATTGCATAACAAACAGCATTACAGCATGGTTTCAGTGTAGAACTCACATTGGATAGACTTCTAAGATATTACTTATATGCAGTAAACTCAATTACATCAAGTTCACCATATGTTTCCATGTGACCACAGTGAAAAAGAATAAGTATTTCTATACAAGCCAGAAATATAAGTGCCCAAATACAAACTTACAAAAGTTTGAAAATACAGTAAAATCTCACTTATCCACATTTGACTGAAATATTAGGGAAAACTGCTACTATATTAAAAAAAAAAGGGAGGGTAAGTGATAGTTGTAGGGAAAGAATACAACTTTAATAGTCAACAAAAATTAAGATTTTCTTATTATTGAGCTGTTTAATTTATATATATAATAAAGTAACTTTAGCAAATATAATAATGTTATAATAGACTACTATGTATTGGCAGATTTAATATATTTCAACTCTTTTATTAAAAAGTATCTAAATGTTTGTATAACAACATTTTAGGCAATACAAAGTGATGGCATTTTACTGTATATTAGAAAGAGAAATAATAGGTTCATACATATATTCCACCCCATCTATTCCTCAACCATATTTAATTTCATCTTTCTCAAATAATTTTAACCTAAACTAGATCTTAACAGCAGCATAGGCATTCAAAGAATAGCATTTCATGAACGAAATATACTACGCTTATAAATACATTTAATTCATACAACTGTATATTTTACACTGCACCTATAATGACAAATTAAAATTCTTATTAAGAACTTTTAATGTTAGAAGCTCAGGATATTTAATATTCATTTTCATTTCACTAATAGACTCATAAACTGTCAACAATTATGTGATTATTATATATGTAATTATGTAGTTATCATAAATGTAAATTACTAAGTGAACCAAACATCTAAATTTATAAATATAAATTACTAAGTGAACAAAAATATTAACTTGATCAAAGTAGTGAACATAGGGTACAAAGGGACAGCCCTATGAGCATTATCTAGTAAGTTATAGACTATAGAGTAGAAAAAAATAATTTAGAAAGTTATAAAAATTAAAATTTTAAAATATAACTCAGGTGAAATTGGACTCATTCAAAAAATTCCAGTGAACTACCACTAGGAGTATGCCTCTAGATTTTAAAAAATGAATTTGTAAGAGATAAAGGAAATTGTGTTCTATAGAACAAATAGTAAATTATAAAGATGTTCTCATTTAATAAATAGAATGTACACTGTAACCCTAAAGGGAAGAAAATAGGAATGGCTTCACAATTTTTAGGTGAATTCACACCTAATAACTTCAAAATTGTCATAATAATAATAATTATTATAATAATACTAATAGTGATGGAACCTAGGCAGCCTGGCCATATAACTTTAAACTTTTCCTATTTCCAATTTTTTCACTGGGATCACAGTAAGGAAAAAACATATCCAGCCATAGAACCTCTCTCCACTTAAGAGATGTGGGTCCTCTAAATGTTAACTGCGATGTAAAGGAAATGCGATTCTGTGCTAAACCTGTTTTTAAAAAGACAAATGCTACTTACAGTCACAAAATAGGGAAAAATATGGAATAACAAAAAAAGAGGTAGTATTTTCTCCTATAAAGTTTCTTAGTTATCTAAAACGCACACGCGCGCGCGCGCACACGCACACACACACACACACACACACAATAAACCCCAAGACCAGGAGGATAGTTTACAATTTCATCCTTTTTGCAAAGTTTCTTAATAATTTAAGGAAGAAAATTTAAAGTAAACTACTTTGATAGTAATGTTCAGGAATGCAGGAATGTCGGCCACCTTCTCAACTGTGTCTATGGCATGAGCACATCCTGGCATGTAGTAGACAATAAACGAAAACTGTCTCAAATTTCCAAAGACCAAAACTTCGAGAATGCCTCTGCTGTTGTAAAAGGAACTTAAGATAACAGAGGATAGCTAGCAGTATCTTTAGTTAATTATTTTTTAAAAATGCCAAGGACAAAAGACCAATCATATGGAAACATCAACCCAAAGAACAAGAGTCAGCCTGTGAAAGCTAACAGACAACAGCAAGGCATCATGGTTACCGATTCATCAGTGGTACAGTCTTTAAAAGGAGACTTTTCTTTACTAGTAGTTTTCAGATCAACCAGAATTCCTGGGATCAAAACCTAAGATGTTTTTCATAAATGGAGATATTTTAAATTTGGAATACACACACACCAAACAGGAAATAGTATTTTGAAAATCCCTTCCTTGGAACAAATTCATAGCTGATTGTGAGTCCAGGACCAAATAGGAGGCATCCATCTACAACATAGATGCTGTAGATTCCAAAGCATCATTAAAACCAAATTGAAAAAAAAAAAAACAACCAAAAGATAATTTGAATTTTTGATCATTAGATCTAAGAAACCATTTGAAAGGTTGAGGGGGAGTATTTCAGTTCTGATATCATATTCACTTCAATATAGCACTTCCGAAAATTTGTGACTATTTTTAAGAATTTCATTGATATTCATAAATCATCTAAATGCAGTTATGATGATATTATATGCACAATGTAAACAGGGCTACAAATGACCACATTGGTATTTATTGTGCATTTTCTAACTTAAAAGATATCATTAAATTCCCCTTTTCCATCTTCCCACAAGAGGAATTCTAATCCTTTTTCAGTTTCAATGCCTACTGCTACTCCCAGGCAAGATAGGCCTTCTGGTCTCCAACTCCTCTTTAACCATCTTCCATGTTGGGTGTTTTGTTCATTGCTATGGCTAGATTCAGTGGCCATCGTGGCCAGAGAGAAGCCTGGCAGAGAGTAGAACCTAATCTCAAAGGTGTTAAACTGAGTCCACACAACTTAGTATTTTTGACCCATCTCCAGATTAATCCCAGTCTAACACTGTCTAAAGAAACAAACCTTAGAGCAGCTTACATTCCAGCTGGGACCTGATCAAACCGTAATAGTGGGTCTAATCCCCAAATAGAAGCCTCCATTAGAGCTGGAAGGGGCTCTAGATAAGAATTAGGGAGTGCGTTTAGCTCTGCTGCTCATGATCCCAGCAGAAATCACCATTTGGTTACTCATTAAGAAATTTCAGAAGCATACAATACTCTCATATTGACATTTAAATACACACTGGAGAAATCAGCTAGAGGATTTTTTATTACTTATTTTAAAATAAATGTTAATATTGAAGTTTATGTGGCTCTTAAAGTCATAACAAAAGCAGAGGAAAGAGTGATAACAGATTTTAATGAATCTCTACCACAGAATAGCTTTCTGCTAAACTCAGGGCAAGGTTTTATCTTCTTCAAGGATGAGGTCTCTGTTCCCCAAGTTATGATAACATACAACATACATCATTAAGCAAAATATTATGTCTCTGGACCACTGAGAGAAGGAGATTATATCAATTATAATGAATGTTCTAGTATCATTAAAAATTAAACCCAAGTATGTGACTCCTTCTTTCAGTGATATACTACGATTTTCTAATTTTAAAAACAAAAAGGTATTTAAGTATTCTTTTAAATCGTCCTGTGTTTCCCTTCAGACTCTGTGCAAACTAAGTGATGCGAACGAGGACCTACTTTCTTCTTAACTGAGAGCCTCTCTAGCAGTATACTATGTTTTTCTTTCCCTCTACAGTGAGAGATATCTATGGAGGTGAAAGAAAGATGATTTACCATTTCGAAAAGCTAATCATTGAGCTAAATATTTTAATATCCACCTTTTTTTAAGTTAACATGTATTCTTTATCTGGTTGCAATGTAAATGTTTATTATAATTAAATAATTTAAAATGAAAGCATTCTGATTTTCTTTGCTTTTTATTACAGGATTACAAAATTCATAAATCTACATCTAAGAGATTTTTAATAGTACTTTTTGCACACAATTTCTAGCCATATCCAAAATGATACCAATATCTTATTCAGGTCTGTGCCTGATCAAAGAACACTGTCTTCTCAAGGTAGCAAAAATATTTCATATTAATGTTATGTCTACTAGAAGGAGCTATTTTTCAACTTTTAAACTAAAACATACAATGCCATCATGTTCTGACTTGTTTTGTGAATTTTATTTATGAAGAATTCTTGGTATTTAATTGCTATTTTAATAATATAAATACAGAGACCATTACTTTGGGTTTCTCTAATTTTTAATAAAAATTTAAGGTTAACATTATTTTAAATATGGAAATATTTCAAGGGATTATAAGGATAGTAAATTATTCAACATATTTTGATACTATTAAAAAGTGGGTAATCTTTCATTATGACAGTTTTCTTCAGACTTTTTCTTATTTACAAATAGACAACGACTTTTTTTATTTACAAAGACAGAAAACTCATATATTCATTACTGGTATATAAGATACCAGCTCTCTATTCTCTCCCATCATCTGACTATCTCTAGCTAAAGGACACATTTGGGACAGAAATTTACCATAACAGAGTGATGAGTTAGTTGATTAACTAAAAACAGTTCCTGCCAATTAGGAGAAAGGGCATAGAGTACTTCTGCGCATGTGAATGATCTCGAGTCTGTATTTCCGGAGCTCTACAATGTACCCTCTTAATGGATAAAAGGATTGATAAGGAAGCGCTACCATTGTTTTTACTTATTAGATGGTCCCCAGAAAAATCACTCATTTACCACTACTACTTTTTTAAAAAGGTTCTTTTATATATAGAAATTCCTCTACTTCATAGAGAAGACTTGTATCAGTGTAGTAGAACTATGATTTCAGAGTTCTCCCTATTCAGGCCCCTCCTTCATAACAGGGACATGCTGAAAACTAGGAGAACAAGCAGGAAGAACAGCCCAAACATTCTGCTTATATGCCTATGAACAGTCACTTTTCATAGATAAAGCACTTTTTTAACATTATTCAAGGCTTCCTTTTGATTCAAGTTCAAGAATTAAAAGATGAGCCCAATAAGTAAATTCAGTTGCCTTTAAGAAAAAAACCATGCTATAAGGGCTGGAAAATCTTTATATTACCTCCAGAAATATATTCAATAGCTATAAAAAATAAGTAAGCTAGAATAATTTCTAAGAAGGTTGGTTAGCCTAAATTAAAAATACATTAAATGCTTACAAAGAATGCCCTAGGTAAAATCATTTATGGCAAACTATGGAATAATAATTTCATGCATACTAAATCTTCCACTCAGAGAATCACCTACCTGTGTGAGGTCAGGAATGTCACCTTTATCAATGCCAACTTGCTGTGGATTAAAAAAAATAAGAAGTTACTTAATGGAAACTTTTAAAAGTTAATTCCTTTGCATTTAATAGAAAATCACCTACAGAATTAGTTAAAACTACAGCTCAATCTCAGTGTAAGAGAATTGTTATTATATATATCAATCTCACTTTGCTCATTGCGTAGTTTTCCACTCAATATAATAGAGAAATGACTTCATTAATATAGTTAGATATAACAAATGTACAGAATTTTGTTAGAACCCCAAAAAGGAACTTAAGAAAATGAGGTGTAAAATTTAAAGGTCTCTTCTATGTCACTGGCAGCTAAAAATCTTAAAAAATGCTTAAACTAAATTTAAACTGTTAATTACACCCAGTAAGTCCTCTGGACATGGAGTGCTCATTCAGTTTTACTAACTTGTTCAGGGTGTAGTTTCCACCCCTTCTCCACAGAGAGGAACATTTTGTTAGTTCCTTATGTATCTTCACAGACTGACTTTATGTATATCCAAAGAACTATGAAATATTTAAGTACACATTTATTTCCCCCATTCTTACATAATAATAGCATATTATCTACACTAGACTTGCATTTTTCATGTAAGAGTATATTTTAGAGCTATATCCATATTAATACACAGAGATTCCTCCTTTTATTAACAGCTGCATAGAACTTTCTTGTCCTATAATTTATTTCATGTCACCCATCAGTGAAGTTGCTTCCAATCTCTTGCCATTGTAAGCAATGCTGCACACACCATTTTGCACCTGTGGACACATCTGTAGGATACATTTGTAGAAGTGGAATTGCTAGGTAAAAGCACTTATGAATTTTTATTTTGGTAGCTTGGGAAGGAAGGGAAGTGAGGGAAGGGAGGCAGAAGGAGAGAAAAAGAGAGTGCACGCAAGCACAAATATGGGAATATGTTAATAAAGGTGAGTCAATGAAGATCGTAAATAGGTGTTCACTATACTACTCTACTAACTCTTGTAAGTTTGAAAATTATTCAGAGTGAAACACTGGAGAGAATATAAATCATAACTTCAATTCTCTCATTTTATATAACTGATGAAACTGAAGCTCAAAGAAACAAAGCGGGTCAAACCAAGGTCTCTCTGAGAGAGGACGTGCTTTGATTATGCTGGTGGAAGAGTCGAAGCAAATACATGAAGTGTAAGTGTTGGGTTCCTACAAAGACAGTAAAGAAGATGGGGTTTGGAGGAGCCACTTGCATATCAAATGCTGAGCTAACTTCTTCCCTTTGCCTTTGTCTAGAACAGGGTTTCTCAGCCTTTGCACTGTTGACATTTTAGGATAATTCTTTGTTGCGGCTGTCTTCTGCACTGCAGGATGTTAACATCATCTTTGTTCTCTACCCACTGGCTGTTAGTAGCCCTCCCCTTCCTCCAGTTGTGACAAACAAAAATGTCTCCAGATCCCCTGCAGAAGAGGCGGGGAGCAAAATCCCCTGCTGTGGAGAACCACTGGATTAGAGCACTGGCCCTCACCCCTCTAGGCCACCTTATGCTGGAGATGCCTCCCAGAAGTACAGATGTTACCCCTTAATGACTGAGCTCTGGTTTTAGGAAATCCACTGATGCTTCCCTAATTCACTCATATTATTACAAATTATGGAAATTATAATGCTAAGGCAATCTCATTCCATTTATTTCTATATTTTAATACCTCTTTAGATGACCCATTAAAAACATTAGTATGAATGAAGTCAGTATTTTTGAAATTAAAGTATTATGGATCCCTAATATTGGAATCACTTTGGTAAAAGGTGACATGTTTCTCTTAAATGGCTAATTCTGTTAAAGACACAGATTGGGAATTCTTCCTTGGCATTACTATTTTTACTGCCCTCAACTTCTGAACCACGATGTAACTGGAGGATCAAGCTAAAGTGTAACTGTATTACAGAAATCTCATCACTTTCGGTCTGCAAATATTCTGGGAGATATAACTCCTATGACTTGGTATTTACCTTGGGATAGCAAACTAAGAATAACTTGGTTCTATAAAAGGAAAAGTGTGTTTAGCAGGAATGCCTATTATCTGTAACACAACCATTTTACAAAGTTTCAGTTGTCTGCTTTAGAAGACTTCTGTATAAGAATCAAAACATGGGAAGTTTTCTGCACTTTAAGGAATTCCTCTGGGAAATTTGAGTATTTCCATAGAAATTGTTCAACTACTCCACATTTCTTTTAATACAAAGGACAATGTATTGCTAACATTTGCCACAGTCAATATACATATATAAAATATATATATATATATATATATGATATATATATTAGTTTTGGAATGACATCCTGGAAGTCTTCTACACAATCTTGAGATAAATGGACTAACTACAGGGTAGCTATTGGGTATGAGTCCATACATATGTACACCACATAAGTACTGTTTGATAGAGACAGAAGCTTTGCTGAAAAATTTCTACATTAACCAATCATAACCAAACTACTCAAAACTGGTATTCAAACAATTAGTGTTTAAATTATGAACAATGTAATTTAAGTGTGAAAGAAAACACAAATGGTTATGTTTTTATCTCATAGTGGTTTAATGTTTATTCTAGTAAAAAATAATTTTCTAAGTTACTATTCATTCTATAAAAAAGTCTTAAACATAATGTTAAGGTAAAGTATTTATTATTCAGTTATTTAAATACAGACTCTCAAAATGACATCACATTTCTGTGTGCCTCCTCAACGGCCTGAATTGGGTCTGTGTTAACAGGATGTTATCAACAGACACGAAGTAAAATTTTACATGTAAAAATAGAAGAGATTGATAAGTACCCCTCTTTCTCCTGGAGACCCTGAGCTCAGCCTTTTTCTGCTGATTAGAGAAATGCATACTTCAGACTGTCACATGTCCACCTCCTTACCTATCTGATATATACAATACAAATGGGAAGACTGGGAAGCATGTGCAACAGAAACTAATGGAAGAACAAAATAATCTTCTGCTCTGGGTGCTTAGGAATAACTGATATTTCACCGAAGAAAATTAGGCAAATTTTGCTAGACTATATTGAGAATTATGGTTAAACCATGGGAAAATCCTCTCAAATACAAAAAAATAATTCTTGTGTAACAACAAAAGTAAAAGTTCAAGCATTTTTATCTTTCTTTAAAGACGACCACCATCAGTAAGTCCAGGAGGAAATATACATGAACGAGCTGCAATGTATATATAATTTACCTAAGCTAATCTTCACCTTTTGTTTCCCATGTTATATAAAAAAAAGGTTTTTATTCTGATGACAAGCCGTATGGATCAAAGCTGAAGAGACAGCATCCTGCAATATTATTTTGGTCTTAGAATTTGAAGGTGACAATTATTAATGAGATTTGAAAGATAACGCATGGACTAGAGTGCTTTTGAAATTGTGTGTATAAAATGCTTGTTCTGCGCTACATTCTCAAAATGGCAGAAAAATTGCAAAATCTTGGCACGAATGTCCCACAGCCATAGAACTACTTCCTTTGGCTGCTGAGTTTCGGAACCCGTCTCATACAGCACTCCAGCCAGTCCTAGCAATCAGTTAGCTGACATTTGTCATCTTGCCAAAGAACTACAATAAAAAGGTTGTCATAATTTCCAGTATCAGTCTGAATTAATAATTGGATTTTGTAAGAGAAAACACCAATTTACAGATAACCTCAGGAACACCAACTGTAGGATTACAGTTACTTTAAGTATAAAGAAATATCCTTAAGAAACAATCTATAAGCTTCATAAAATTAATTATACTGTTTAATTTTTCCATTGTATTTAAATCATTGACAAACTAAGAAAAGTCAGATTTTATGATTTCATTTACACACTAAGAATAATGGATGGATTTTTCTAAAGGCTTTTTTCTTGGGTCCCATAAAGCACTTTCTTACAATCAAAGGTAGCCATTAGGTGGAATGGAGGAACAGATCACCTTGGGAAGGTGTGAATGAACTCGTTATCCATGAAACTTTAGTTTGAACACAGAAGGACACTGACTGGGATGAGCGAGTGCACAGTACAGCCCTGAGAAAAGCTGGATGAGATGACTTCTGCGGTCACTTCCAACCCTAACACACTGTGACTGTGGCAGAATGTCTTGCCAGTTATAGATTCTATCATTTACTCCAGATACACGAGTTATTTTTAAATTATATTCCCAACAAAGCTTAGTATTACTTACCTCTGCGACTTTGAGGAATTCGGACACTCGCGTCATTCTAGTTAGAAAGCGTTTATAAATTTCTAAAGCATCTTTACATTGTCCTTTCTTCATTTCAAAAAACTTTTCTAGAAGAGATAGATAAGCATTTTGAAAAGAGTATTATATTCAACTTTCTTCTAAGCTTACGTTAATATTATTAAAAGAATTAAATGTTAGACTCACAACACTTGGCACTAAAACCTAAATGAGGTATTAAAGCCCCAAAACAAGGGGGGCCTGAGTAGTTTAACAAAGGTGTTACGTCCCAAGGCATCTCACGTGAAACAATTTAAATAATGGATAGACAACTAAAGCAGAAGAATACATGAACTGTCACAACAGGTTAAACTCGTGACCCACATATCCCAGTGTTCTGTTTTGGAAAATAGCATTCAATTCTTGCTGATGACAATCTCGAAAGTTATGACCGCACTCTACAGCGTCCTTATTTTCTTACTAGTTCACGATGAAGCAGTAATCCATATATTATAAAAGCAATATCCTATAAACTTTCCTGAATTAAAGAATTCTTTAAATTGTCTACACCTCATATAAATTGATACTTGCTTTTATTGGTCATAAATTATTTCTTTCAGATATCATAATGAGTCTCTTAGCTGTAAAAAATAGTGGAGTTTTGTGAAAAACATTTGGTTTGCCAAACTCTTTATGACTTTCTAGTCTCTAAACGAACCCCCTTTCTCAGCCTGTAGCTTTCTAGACAGAAAACAGAGGACCCCTTTGCTGCTGTATTCTGCACTCCCAAGACTAGAATTCACAGTCATTAAGGTACTAAGGCGGCCTAGTGCTTAATATTCAGAGCTCTCACTGCTGCTACCTGGTTTTGTTTCCTGGTCAGGGAACCACATCACTCATCTGTCCATTGTCATACTGTGGTGGCTGCACGTTGCCGCAATGCTGAAAGCTCTGCCACCACCCTTTTACCGTCACCCATGGTGGACAGGTTTCAGCAGAGCTGACAGACTAGGCCACTCACTTCTGAAAAAACTGGCCATGAAAACCCTACAAACAGCAGTGGAGCATTGTCTGATAGAGCACCGGAAGGTGAGAGGATGGTGCAAAAAGACCGGGCAGGGTTCTGCTCTGCTGTCCACAGGGTCACAAGGAGTTGGGACTGACCTGATGGCACTAACAACAACAAAGGTACTATAGCTCTGTTATGACTGCAGTATGAGAATGTATTTTCTCCACATACAGTTTGAAGAAAACCAGCACTTCATCAGTGTTTCTGCCAGCGAGTCATTCATCAATTCATTCAGGCAATAATTATTGACATTGCAGATGGAGACACAGTGGGTTAACGTCTGTGACAGCTCCCAGGCAACTCTGGATCATAACTGCCGGCCAGTGTCTTCGTTACTTTATATTTGCACATGGTTAAATACATGCTATTTTTATATTTTCTCACACTTGAAAGTTCTTGATTTCATTCAGCATGTAATTTGACTACCTCAAAAGTATTTTTTTTTTTTTTTAAAGAGAGGAAGAATTTTTTTTTTTATTTTTTTTTTAAAGATTTTATTTTTTCCTTTTTCTCCCCAAAGCCCCCCGGTACATAGTTGTGTATTCTTCGTTGTTCTTCGTTGTGGGTTCTTCTAGTTGTGGCATGTGGGACGCTGCCTCAGCGTGGTCTGATGAGCAGTGCCATGTCCGCGCCCAGGATTCGAACTAACGAAACACTGGGCCGCCTGCAGCAGAGCGCACGAGCTTAACCACTCGGCCACGGGGCCAGCCCCTACCTCAAAAGTATTTTTAATTTTCTCAAGAAAGGTTTAATAATATATAATTACACAAAGAATTAATTATCGAGGGTAGCTACTCATTACCTCTGTTGACAGACTTTTGGTAATTTTACTTTTAACATGGACCTGCCCTGTAGGATATTCAAGGGAAGCAAAAAGATCAAGAAAACAAACACATACTGTTTCCTCCTTGTTAAGATTTGAAAGGAAAATGAGTCCAAAAAAATGGCCAAATCTAAAGATACTTTCTTTATTCACTCTATCTTATTTTATAATGCTGTAGATAGAATCACGGTGCCATAAGGAAACAAATCTTTTTTAGTGTAAACTTTTGAAAATAAGGACTTATTCTGCTAAAACATACTTTCCTTTCTTTCCTGTTCAACAATCTTCACATAAACAATTTCTTCCAAATGTCTAAGTTACTTTACTATAATCTAAGTTTATTTCTTTGCATCAGATATTCAGCAATAAGAGAAAAAGAGAAATCAAACTGAAGAATCTCAATTTCCTTTTAGAACCAGTGCATCAAAATTTTAATTTTTCTCTGTTTCCTCTGGATGCTTTTAAAATTGTTTGTATCTTTCATGGTAATTTAGGATTCAGCAACAAAAAAGATTCAATCATTATAGCCTTAACTTATAATTTCATAACTGTTTCTAGAACCATGGTAATGCCACAGAAAGGCAACATGCATGAATACATGCAAAGCTGTGAATTTCCCTTGTTCCCTTAGAGACCAGGGAAGGCCCCAGAGAAATGAATACTTTCAACAGAGGGGATGAGCCACCCAGAAATGAGCCTCTTTCTTTCATGCCAAAGATAACATATGTTAATTTTCAACTTTTGAAATGAAAAAATTTTATATTTCTAACAAGACTCTTTATAAAGAGCTGATAAATTCCCTTGTCATATTAGTTTTAACATTCACAGAGTAGTCATCCCAGGAAAAGAACCAGATGAAAAGCTCAGCCCCGTGAAACAAACCGAGACTTCGCAGGTGGACTGTCAGTAACGACCATGAGTCAGCAAGGGAAGCATCTTCTTACTCGCACGTCACAATTTCATGACGGTGATGACAGATTTGCAGCACCATGTGCATTCCAACAATGGACACAGAGAACCGGTCATGAAGTCCTTGATTAGAACTAACCCATAACATGTTTATACAGTTAATTCCTAGCACTATTTAGTAAACAAGAGATATACCTGTCTCAAAATACTTAGGATACTAAGTGAAGCTATCTTCTACAGTGTTACTTTTACAGGAACCATTTGACGACAACAATGAATGAAGGCCACTCAGCACGAGAATGTTGTAAGGCAACAATGTACACCTCTACCACTTTAGAAAAGCCAAAACTTTAATATGAAAAGGTATAACTCTCCTCCTTTTCTGGGGCTAGTCTTAGCCAATAGACTATCTTTTTCAAATTAAGTGAAACAAAAATATTTATTGAGTATTTATTTTAACATAAAGAGAAAATGTATTACTACAGTCTACCTGTGAACTCAACATAAACAGTAAAGGAGAGCAGCATTTAAGTAGCTGCTCAAGACAACAACAAAGGAGAATCCATTGGATTAACCTGTTTAATTGCTAAATGAATTGTAAAGGCAATAAATCCAATGTTCTTGAAGCAGAAGTGGGAATGCAACAAGGGCACAGTGGTGAGAGAATACAAGAATGAATCAACAGAACTCCATTTCTGACTGGGTATGGATTTGAGTAAGATGAGCAACTCAAAGATAACTGAGGTTACAGGTTTAAAAGACTAATTATACATAAACAGAAACAAAGAGATTAGGAAGGGTAAATTCAGGAGTTCAGTGCTAGAGATTGCTGAGTTTTAGGTAAGAACACAATACCTAAATTTAAGTGTCTTCAAAGAAGAAGACATGTGAAACTGAAGCTCAGAAGAAAGGTAAGGACTGAAATAATAGATTTTGGACTCAGCATAATGGAGATAAGTTTTCCAATGACGAATGTACAGAAAAAGCAGAATAGTAGATGGCTAGAAAAGAACTTCAGCAAAAACTCACATTTTAAGGAAGAGTAAGATCAGCCAGCAAGAGAGAATGGAAAAATCTATCTTATTGGGCTTACCAACAAACTCTTACACTTGAAATAAAGGTAACACAATTTTGAACTGCATATCATGGGTAGAATCTTTCTCCACTAAAGGCAAAATCTCTAAGAGCACTGTATTCGATGTAGGTGACTGCCGCTCCCAACCTCCATTCCATGTTTTTCTAGACTTATGAGAAGCCAGGGTTCAGGATGAAAACTTAGTTCTGCAAATTAGACAGACCTGTAGGAGATTTGGAAGGTGAAACTGAGGCAGAAGCAGTCTTCTTGTCCCTTTTCAGCTGTTATTTATGACAAATGATGAGATTCTAAAAGTGTGAGATTATCTTTCAGCAGCATTCCCCTGTCCACCCTCCAGCTTCCTGGGTTTTAAGGAATAATGGATACAGTCACAGCCACTAGATCTGACTCCCTATTCTCTGAATTATAGCTTCAAGTGTCTAGGTTTCTAGGTTGCAAGGCAGCTGAAGTGCTGGCAGCAGCTTATTTTCGCATACTGTAAAGCAGTGGCCTCAGAAGGAGCAGCTTCCCTAGTGTGCAAGAACTTAGTATTTCAGGAGACTGAGCCTAGAACCAGTTCCTGCAGGCTCCCAATACTCACATAAGCACCTCACTCCTTGTGTTAAGTCCCTTTCTATTTAGACTATTTAGACTTAGTGGTTTCTGTTTCTTGAATAGACACAGTATTTGGTACCTGAAGCGGCTGTAGAAATCAGACCCTCAAAAATGTCAAAGATGGGAATCTGGGATCAGACACGTTGTAACCTGATCGGATTGGAAGGCAGTGATGACCACCTGTGAATGAAGGAAATTGGACCCTCCCAGTCTGTCCTGTATAGAAGCAAAATAATGACTTAAATTAGCACCTATGGTTTTCCGAAATGAGCACCTAGAATGAAGCTTATCAGACCAAGCAGCTGCTGGGATAGACCACCACGATGGGAATAAGGCAAACAGAGCTGCTCCTGATCCCACTGGAGAGCTTAAAAAGGAAAATGACAACACACGATTGTAAATTATTGGCTCAGGGCACCAGTCAGACTGTGGTACTCCAAGCTGCCCTAAAATAATCTTATCTCATGCAGACGAGGGCTGTCATCACTGAAAGTCAGAGTCTAATCTTGGGAGCTGCTGAATTATAATATACGTGGTTAAGTTAAATTCCCAGCCTCGCCATGGTCTCCTTTGTGAAAGTTAGGATATTTATTGAGAAAGAAAACTGGAAAGGGCAGTTCTTGGGTAGATTCAAACCAAACTGAGCTATTTTTGCTAGAAGAACGTTTCCCTTCTCAGTCTGAAGAGGCTGGCCCTGCCTTGGTTGGAGATCCTGTAATCAACTCACCTTTCACGAGGGAATGAAAATTCTTCTCACGCCCTATCCCTCTACTACCTACCTTTCCCCCTGGCCAATTGCCTCAATACCTAGAAGGAGATTCAGAATCCAGAAATTCCAGCGTGCCCTAGGGAGACGAGGACAAAGTCTGACCCAGGAGGAAGAAACATACATGCTAAAAGAGGTGCAAGACTCTGCAAATTTATGTTGGCAGTAGGGTTGCCAGATGAAATACAAGACACTGAGTTAAATTTAAATTGTAAATAAATAATTTTTAGCATAAGTATGTCCCAAATATTGTACGGGACTTATTAATATTAAAAAAAAATTCATGTTGATCTGAATACAAATTGAACTGGGCGTCTTGTATTTTTCCCCCTGAATCTAGCAACTCTCATTGATAAAAATCTAGAGAAGGGGAATAGAGTCTAAAGGTTCTGAGCAGGGCAGAAGGAATATTACATCAGATTTTGTGATGTAATTGATAATTGATCAATTTGGGCGAAGATGCTAAAAAGCATGGATTCAAAATCTTAACCTGAGCATATGGAAGCGGTTTTAAGCAGCGGTTCCTAAACTGCAGCCCAGCAGCAAGGGCACTGCTCAGGACCTTACTACGAATGCAGATTCTCAGACCCTCCCTCAGACTTTCGGAATTAAAATCTCTGGGTTAAGCTGAAGGTCTAGGATTCTGAATTTTAATTAGCTCTCCAGATATTCTTGAGGAAGGTCCTTGAAACACCCAAAAGCACTTTTTCCAAGTCTTCTGCAAAGGGTTCTTTACCAGAGTGACTATGCCCAGGGGAAAGAGACAAACCCAGACTCTTCAGGGACACTAACTTTAAGCTGATGCTACTCCCTGGGGACCCAAAATGCCACTATATGTTCCACTAATCTGAGTGGAAGCTTTATGGGAATTAGGCGATAAAAGAAAACTAGATTTGGTAGAGGCATGAAACTATCTGTGGTTATTTCACCAGTTTCCTAAATACATAGTTGAGACAGAAATAACTCTGAAACTAGCAGAATCCCCACACTGGTTTCCTGATCTCTGCAAAGGGCCAGCGGTAGCAATTCCATCCTATCTCCAGTTAACTTGTGTATCTGGTTTGTGCAAAAGACGAATGGATCTGAGAGATTCACAGTAGGTCACTGCAAACTTAATCAGGGGATGACTCTTACTGGCAGAGATCCAGATGTGTCCTCCTTACCAGCATAAAATCAGCACAGCTCCTGACACCTGACAGGCACCTATAAAACTATTAAATTCTTTTTATCTCTAGCCCAATAAACAGAGCTCATCAGAAACAGTTTGCCTTCACCTGGCAAGGATGCCAGTACACCCTCACTGTTTTATTTCAAGGATATCAATCTCTCTGGCTGTCATAATCCCATGGGATATCTCTTTGATGAGATCAGGCTGACTGAACCCAGTAAGTAAGAATTTCAGGTATGCTCGGTGCCTTAATACGTCCTATGTATGCTAAAGGGTGGGAGACAGAATCTATGGAAGTTCAGGGACTTGCTAACTCAATGAAGTTTCTGAAGGCCCCAAGGTCACCCCCATGTGAAAGACAAATTGTTTCACCTTGCACCCCATAACTAAAATGCAGACAAAAGTTTGCTGAGCTTCTTTGGTTTTGTCAGTAACATACAATGACGTGTGTTTGTGTGCTGCTCTAAACAGACTATCGGGTATGGTGTCAGATACAAGTAGGGTCCAGATCAAGGAAAGGGTCTGCAACTGCTCCAAACTTGAGCCACATGGGCCCCTGTTCCTGCGGATCTAAAGGTATTCAGAGTGTCCGCAGCACATCCAAATGCTGCAGTGTGCCTCCGGCATATTCCAACTGGAAAATACAGTAGAAGCCTCTAGTGCTTTGGAGCACAGCCATGTCTTCTTCAGACAGTAACTAACTGCCTTTGGAAAAATTTCTCTTGGCTTGCTTCTAGAGACTGAGATTCTGACCATACAATACCAAGTGATCATAAGACCTCAAGTGTTACCTAAAAACTAAATCATAAAGTTGGACAAGTGCAAGAACACTCCATCAGCAAATGGAAGTGGCCTAAGAGATCAGCCTCCAGCAGATCCTGAACGCTCATGTAGGCTTTATGAGCAGAAGGCTCATATTCCCAGTGCACCTACTCTTCTGCACTCAAATTTCTCCCTCGACTCATGCCTATGGCCTCTGGGAAGTTCCCTATAACCAGCTGGCAGAGGAAAAGAAGAATTCAAGCTTGGTTTAGAGATGTTTGTTCAAGTTGGAACCAGTTGGAAGTGGTTTGTTGAATCACTGTATCTCCACAAAGGGGGGACCTTGACAGTGGAAAGAAATCGTTCACTGTAGCCAAACTTCAAGCAGTATATCCATCTGATTTTTCACTTTATGTCAAAGGAAAGATGGTCAGATATATGGAACTACACCAAAATATGAGCATCTCCAGGGATGGCATCAGAGGTGGTTGTCAGCACGGTGGAGCAGTTATTTATTGTTATGGGATTTATATCCAAGAGGCACAGCCTAGAACCTACTCCTTTAGTCATTCCAAAATTCTGTAAGCACCAAAATCCCCGTATGAAATGCCTTCCTGCTTAAAACATCTAAAGTGCTTTCCATTTCCTGTACTTAATCTTCACTGACATAAGAACACATATAGAAAGGTGACCTGAATGAATCCTCTATTTAGATTTTTATGTATGAAATCTGCAGTACCCAAATCTTTGCCTTCTGATAGTCTTTATTCAAAGACACCTTTCAGTAGTTCTACCTACCAAGTAAGTTAATAACTCCATCATTGTAGCAGGCAAAAAGTTTGATAAGATCTTTGAAAAGAAGCATAAATGCAGCATTTATGACACCATTTGTTAGCTCATTTGGATGCACCTAGAAAAAATGAAAATTTAATGTTAACTGCATATCATGAAATGACAATTTTTCTCAAAAGACATTAAAATGTCTCAAGTAATTACTAAGAAATTCATTCACATTCTACAAATGTTGTGTAACTCTTTTAGCAGCCCTACCAATATCAAAAAATGGAGTGCATATTTTTTTGCTTCAATTTAAGCAATGAAGTTAGTCCTATCAATTATAAGACACGTATACATTCTACTTGATCAATGATCCACAGATCAATCAAATCCAACTTTTGAACATCTGGTCTTTCGCTGCTTTTATGACGTTTATTACATTCTTCCACTTCCTTCATATAATGGTCTCTGTGGAAGGTCCAGCCTCCAGGGACCTGCAGTGACTCAGGGAGGAAGCACAGTGTGGGGACAGGTCCCTTAGCCACCTACCCCTAAAATCATTCTTGAGACTCACAGCATTCACCCATCTACAAAATGCTCTAATCACCAACACACAGAAGAAGAATGACTCTCCATTCCCCAATCCTTGTCCACACAACTCCTCAAGCTCTGTTCTTTTCCCCTTAGGACTTCTTTTCTCCTTTAATTAAGCTGGCACCATTATTATGGGTAAGGAAAACAAAGAAATAAAAAGAAAAAAATGTTGAGAGAAGCAATTACATAAATACCCAGTGAAGTCCTCCCTGTAAAATCTGTCACAAAACAGTAAGACGGTTTGCTGCTTTACTGAAATTTCACAGGACTTGGGTGTTGTGACTAGGACTCATTTTAGATTAAATCGTATAACCTTAACAGAGATTTTAAGTTACTAATATTTGAAAAAATCTTTGTTTTAGGCAACCACCAAAAAAGAGGAAAGCTAACAACGCCAGTTTAAGATCTTCCTACATGTCAGAATACTTTGTTTTTATGAATCAGATGTATGTATTTAATTAAACTTTTAATTTCGAAATAACTATAAATCCACATGCAGCTTGAAAAAATATAGAGAGAGCCCATGTACCATTTATCCAGTTTTTCCCAGTGGTAACATCTTTCAAAACTAACTAGGATATTGATATTGATACAATCCAATGATTGTATTCGCATTTCCCCTGTTTGACTTGTGTGTGTGTGTTTAGTTCTATATAATCTTATCACGTGTGTAGGTTAGTGTATCTACCACCACAGTCAAGATACAGGTACGATTTTAAGAGACAAGTCTTGTTGGTATTGCCAGGAAGAAGGACCACAACAAAACAAAAATAATTCTCTTTGGTGGAAGGTGTCATTTAAGCAGTTTATACAAAATGGTTTCTAACAGCAGGCTAAGTTATTTTGCTGCCTGAAGGCACACTTTGCAGCTACTTCATTCTGTCAAACCCAACAGGAGGCCACGATCCTGCTCTAAACATGGATTCCAAGAATGAACCACTTGTATTTTTCCACGACTTAAGTAAACACTTGGTAAACTGCTCGGACAACCTGGGCAACCCAAATCATCTCTACCACGCTAACAGCCTGAACCAAGTGTACATCATACTCCTCTATATGAGGGAGATCTAAATTGGCTTCCTGAGGAAATTCGAAGCTTTACCTGTAGCCCACCTTCAAATAAAAGACAACACTAACTCTGTCAGAAACATTTTCTGGTGAGATACATACATCAAATTCAAGCAGGGCGTCGATCTGTCCTTGCAGTATTGGCATACTCTTCAGGAGCTTTTCGGGAGCCATTGTCCTCATCACCCCATCGGCTCTACAATTAAACAAAAAAAAGATAAAACTTCCTCATATGTGGAAAATTCAAGACCACATACGTTGTCCTATGCTGTTTTCCCGCCTATTTCCTCGTTAATCTTGTGGATGATTGTGAGATATGAAGAGGTTGTCGCTGACTCCCCTCTCTACGCTCCTTATCCATCCTCAGTTTTTGGCCACACAGACAGTGCTTTTTATCTGCACGGCCTCAGGAAGAAAGTGATGTGGTCTGGATAAAAGAGGTCAGTTGATTTCTGAATGGATTTTTCTAAGTCTATAAAAGAGATAATAGTACTAAAAATTTAGGTTTCCTAAACCCCCGTTTATTTGTTTGTTTTTGAGAAAGAGAGAGAAAACATGTCTTGGAAGTCTACAAAACCTATACAGCTGGGAGTACCGTCTACTAAGAATCAAGTAAAGAAAAATGCATGCTGATATGCACAGTTTGACCAAAGGGAGATGAGTTCAACTAGCTGCAGAGGACGCGACTGGAGGTTAGTGCTGAAGCATGCATCAAAGGGGGCACTGAACCTGATACCCACCCAGGGGCCTCCTAGGGAGCCTCTGCCTCCAGTGATGGTCAGGAGCAGCCATACTGAAATAGCGGAGGAAAATACCCAGGTGATGTGAATGGGCTGATGATGGCAACTTTCAGGGTCTCTGCTACTTCGATGGTAGTGAATGCATCCTAAAGTGTCCTTATGTACCCATACAGGAGTGCTGAAATTGCTAAGAAAGCTGTGGATCTATTGTGGAGAGGCCACAATGCAGCTAGGAACATCAGCAATGGCTGCCCAGGACCAATGTAAGAAGTCAGAGGAAGCCATACGAACTAGAATCATCTCTAATGAGAATGGGATGAAGCAGAAACTTTAATTTTTCTTTCTTCTTTTTTTTGGTGAGGAAGATTGGCCCTAAGCTAGCACTTGTTGCCAATCTTAGTCTTTTTGCTTGAGGAAGATTGTCACTGAGCTAACATCTGTGCCAATCTTCCTCTATTTTGTATGTGGGACACTGCCACAGCATGGCTTCATGAGCCGTGTGTAGGTCTGTTCCCGGGATCCGAACTCAGGAAACCCGGGTCACCAAAGTGGAACGTGTGAACTTAACGACTACACCACAGGGCTGGCCTCTGGAAACCTTAATTTTATAAAATGTTCATTCACAAGAAACTAATTTATTTTGAACAGGTAAGTTTGTATTTTCTACCACTATGATAAAAAAGTAGTTCAAAGCTAAGTTTAGGTCAGCTATTAGAAAAATAGTTCTATCTTTTTGTGTGGATTCTTGAGACTAAAATGTCAAACCTTCTACAATACATTGCATTATTTCAAGTTGGGAACAGATACAAGATTTGCCTAAATTTATGGCTGAACACTTCTGATTAAACTCAAATATTTTTACAGGATAATAAATAGTTATTAAAAATTGAAATGCAAGTGTTTCTGTTTCAGTGAGGTTTTCTTAATGGTTAGTATTAATAATTAGTTCAATTATGGTTTGTGTGTGTGTGTGTGTAATACCAGGGCAGTATTACCTCTCAAAAACAGATCTCCACCATAAACATGATTCAATTTTACCTCAGTCAAAACACATTGAAATAACTATTGTCGACCACAGCCACTGTCCTTTTAAATGAACCTTGTTTAAATTCTCTCCATTTAAAATTACTTAAAGGTATATATGAGTTTAAGAATTTTGAATTGATTTTAACAAATAAAATGTTACACTGTGTCAACTCTGGGCAGCAAATCAGATTTTACCCATGGAAATACAAAGTAGTGCACATTGCAACCTCAAGGCTAACTTCTATAATATTATTGAGCTTTTTTCTCAAGCTTTTTTCTCAAGTGATTATAAACTAGGCCTTCATGATCAAAATTAATTGGCATTTAAACTTAGTTAAAATAAATCAAGTATACCTCAAAGACTAATTCTCTTCAAATAAATCTGAGAAGGATAAAACATACCCTTTCTTCACTCTGGCAAAATCAAATGCCATCTGTCTGTAAGAGAAAGCCTTTTCATTCAAATATCTACTATAGCGCCTTATGAAGGTAGACATATCGTAACCTGGAAGGGCAGAGGAAATACAACTAGTTAATAAGATACCTTCAATGGTGCTTTGCTTAGTACCAGTTTTTATTTAAACTCTTCAAATGTAAATAATTTTAGGATGAGGTCAATAAGTGTATCAGACAGGCCTCATTTAAAATCCTATTTCAGGCAACAATACTTTTGGCATGAGATGTTCCAAGACTATACAGCTTAGCTATGCTATCATCCTTGTACAGAAGGTGTTTTCTAACGTTTCCTTGCATTTTTGCTCACTGTTTCAAATTACAGTCTGTTTCAGACATAATACATGCAGCTCTCTGAGAGCTCTCTGAGAACTCATCTTACACATAACAGGCAACCAGTAAATATGATGAATGAACAAACAATTGCAGTTCAAATTCTATTAATTTACAAAGAACACGTCTTTAAGACTAGAGTTTTTTTTACTGAGGAAGTATGTTTCATTTCACTGCCTCTTGCACGTTCATAAACAAAACAACTGTGGGTCTAGCATGTCGACTGTTACATTTTATAGTAAATACTGAAAAAGACAAAAATGAAATTAATATTTAATTCATATGCTGAGTTTTCTAACAATTTTATTTATTCACTTTTTGGTGAGGAAGATTGGCCCTGAGCTAACATCTGTACCAATCTTTCCTCTATTTTGGGTGTGCGTTGCCACCACAGCATGGCTTGACGAGTGGTGTGAGACCGCACCTGGGATCCGAAATTGCGAACCTGGACCACCGAAGCAGAGCGTGCCAAACTTAACCTCTATGCCACGGGGCCAGCCCCTAACAATTAAATATTTTAAAGTTACTATAAAGTAACTATACAGTTACTTTTATATTTTTTCTTAAATATTCAATGGAGCTATTACAATAATTTTGGATTAATAACCTCACTTCAAAAATCAAGAAATTCTGGATCAAAAGCATTAGCAAGAAAATTATAAAACAGAAATATTCTCACCATGGGATCCACTTTTGTCCAAAAAATTGCTGAGATTGAATAATGTATTTCTAGAGGCCAAATACTGAATAAATCTCTGAAAAACAAAAATTAGAATTAAGCAGCAATATTCTCAAATCATACCTATAAACAATTTCTGATACTGAACGGATTTTTTCTTTTACAAATTCTCATCGTGATCTCTTTTACTCAATTATAAAGTTTGCTAGTCTGCTGACTTTCTCTGAGGGGGAAAAAAGATTGACCAATACTCATTGACTTAGAATTAAATTGCACAATCTTTCATTTCTGTATATAACAGAAACACGGCAATTTAATAGGATTCAGAAGGCATCTCATATCAAGTGGGTAATTTTCATTTTATCAATATTTTCCAAAATTTAACATTTTTATGAAAGCAATTTTTGCTTAAAGGCACAAAAGTATATTTGCTATGGGAAAATAATTTTGTTGTTCCTTTCTCCAAACATTTTTGCCCAATAAGATGGTTATATGGTACATACATTTTAGGTACAAATAATATTTAATACTTCAATAGCTCTAAGAAAACGTCTAACAACACTTTTTGAAAAAATAGCAAAACAGAAGATTAACATTGTACTTTAGATGATTTTGAACTATGGATTTCCTCTTTTTCTCTTAGTTAGTAAAACTCAAAGGGCCTTAAGTTACCAGCACACTGCTTCATGAAAACCTCCCTCCCTCACTAAAAACAGAAAAGTTAAGTTTGCTTAGTTTACCTCGTTTCCATGCACCATGAGATGGTGTGTTGTGACTAAAGCTTTAAATACAACCACCCAGCTACTGTTTGTCGCCCGCTCAAAGAGCGTGTCAGCCATCTGAGGGATATTCACATTGGTCTCATTGGTAGCCTGGATCAAATCTATGAAAATAGAAGATATCGGTCTATGATACTATTCATCACGTACAAAAACTCACTTCAAATTTTAAACCTTTAAACCCGTTAACTAAAATATAGGTCCAAAATTGTTTTGAAAATTGCTAAGAAAATTTTTAAAAATTAAACTAATATTTTCACACACAAACACATAAATATACTAGTTACTCAAGGTATTTATTTTTTCTTGAGCTTAATTTTGCTATTGAATTCTCTCCTGTATCCTCTTCTGAATTTTATCTGGTTTCTGGTACCAAGGTCATTTTACAAACTTGAGGAAATCTAAGCCTCATGTTACTCTTCTCTGTCATCACTCCTAGAACAACGTCTCAAACACGCAGATACTTACTCTATATGCCATTTGAAGGCAAGGACAGAAATGTGTTTTTTGAAACACTATAGTAAGAGCGTACTTCACTTGGATTTTAATTTTGCTAACACACTTGTTGTATAAGTGGCAAAATGAGAGTAAACAGAAAAAGAGGAAAGAATTCCACTGTCCATCTAAGCATTCAGAGAACATCACGCATGCATTAAACTACTATGATTTGACCTGAGCCTATAAGAGAGTAAATTTTTAGTAACACATTCACTGTCCACATTTACATATTAGCAGTACAATTCTGGGTGTACCTCAAGAAAAAAATTTGTATAGTGGCCAAGAGGGGCTTCCCAGAATCCAGAAAAAGTGGTGGTCTGTCAAAAAGTTAGCTAAGGCAACCAAAGATCACGTGCTAAGGAACAGAAGCCAACTCCAACAGTGTAGGATGACCCCCAGGACACCACCACGCACGACTTCTCTTACAGGCCACACCCTCTGCACAGAACTGCAGGTGACACCCAGTTCCTCAGAAATTCTGTGCAACAAGCACAGAGACAAAACCATCCTTTTCTTTGCTTAAAGTCCACACTCAGGAATCATGAAGTACACAAGTAATCATTTATGTAGTCATAAAATCATTACATTTGTTTTATGCATTTATTTTACAATAAACAGGTTTTAAAAACTTAATACTCCATCACTGAAATAGCTCTTAACTCTAAGACCAAAGGGTACCAATAACTATTCTGAATTATAAGTGGACCAAATCAGGCTTGTTTCTTACTTTCTATTTATTTTAAACTCTAGTCATCATCCCTACCCCATGAACACCCTCCCTCAATATTTTCCTTTATTGGAATTCTACTACTCACCCATCAGGAAATCTTTCCTGGTTCCTCACAAATGCAGTCCGATGGGACCTCCCTCTACTTTAAAACCTGAGGCACTTTGTTCCTCGTGGGTGTTCGGATTAGATGTAGATCTGTTGTAAGTTTCTACCATACCAAAGCCCCTTGAGGATGGAAACATCCTCATACCAACGTCTGTTTCCCATGCAGGGCCTTGCAGAACACTGCACAATAAACATTTGTTCAGCAAAATGTATAGAAACCAAAATACTTTGCTGAAAATATAAATGAACTTCTTTGGAAAAGAAAAATCACTACATGATAACATTGTTTTCCGAGACTATATTATGGGACTACTTTAAGCTTGAAATTCTGTGTCAGTCACAAATCCTTCTATTCATTTATTTATTGAACTAACGATATGGAAATGTATTGCTGGTCAGAGAGATGAATGCAGGTTCAGATAACAGAGAAACCCTACAAGAGATGAGTCAAGAGAGACAGCACGACAGAGCAGAAAGAGCCCGGGTCCAGAACCCAGCCCAGCCCCTGTTGAGATGTGTAACTCTAGGAAACTTACTTAATGTGTCTTCAATGCAGGCTCTCATCTTTAAAATGGGGGTAATAATTATTACTTTTCAGGTCTATTATAAGGATTGCAAACTGTCTGAACAAAGTAGGTGCCTAAAATAAATGTTTATAAATACTGTTATACATACACTACATTATGAGAATACAGTGGGGTATTAGGAAAGACTCCATGGGGAAGAAAGAGTTGAGTGGGACCCTGAAGTCAGCTATGACATGGGAGAGGAGTGAGAAGGACATTTTTAGCAAATGTGCAAAGTGTGGAGCCATAAGTGGTCATGCGTCCTTGGAGAACTGTGGTGGTTGGGGGCTAGGTATGTGTGGCCAGGTGGTGGGGAGGAGATTAACTGAAGAGCTAGGGAATGGCCAGTGAGGGATCTCATACATTTCATTAAAGAGTTGGACTTCACCCTAGGGATCAAGGGCAGCCCCTAGAAGTCTTTGAGCAGAAAAGTACCAATAACATATTGCTTTTACAGTCAACCAAATTATTCACTGACTACTAAATCTGTCTGCAAGGTAAGCAGAGGCACAGGATAAGGAATGATCACCTTTGCCTGGAAAGATACACTAGAAGAGAGGACAAGGGTAAGTTAGAAAGCCTAGTTGAGCATTAGAGACATGGTGAGGCTGAACTAACGAAAAGGCAGTAGAAATAGAGGGAGATAATGAATGGCGATGTCTAGGAGGTTGCATCTGACAGGAGCCCAGGGTTTTACCAGTTCGGATCCTGGGCGCGGACATGGCACAGCTCGTCAGGCAACGCTGAGGTGGCATCCCACGTGCCACAACTAGAAGGACCCACAACCAAAATATACAACTATGTGCCAGGCGGATTTGGGGAGAAAAAGCAGAAAAAAAAAAAGAAGATTGGCAACAGTTGTTAGCTCAGGTGTCAATCTTTAAAAAAAAAAAAAGAGGTAACCCAGACATCATACAAAGAACAATGAAAACTATACGTTATAAATAAGAAAAGAAATAAGAATTAAAGCTAAGAAAAGACCAACAACTAAGAGATGAATGGAAGAACACTGAGTGAAACAACAGTCAGAACGGTAAAGAGAAGCCTAGGAAACGAAACTGTGAGACTAATTAAGAAGACGGCTTCAAAATTTTCAAGAAGCAATTAGGGGTCACCGATGTCAAATACTGCAGAAAGTCGTCGCAAGCTGAACCCCCAAGAATAGAATGTAAAACTAGGAGAATGCTGCCATGTGAAGAAAATAAAGCTCAAGCATAGTCTGGGTTTGAGAGCGAGAGGGGTCAAAGGAGGGCTGTTTATGGTTTAAAGATGGGAGACATTTAAAGATGTTTGAGACCAAGTAGGAAAAGCCAAAAAGAGGTGAGGTTGCAAAGAGAGTAGACAATTTAGGGGAAATTCTAGAGGCGAGGTGAGCTTTAAAATCCAGGGCTCAGATGCTGAGGTTAGCCTCAGAGGGGAGGGTTATACAATGAAGAGAGGTAAGGATGGGTACTCTTGAGTGGAGATGCAAGAATGATGACAGATGTAACGCTACTGAGAGGCATGCCATTGATGAAGCAGTAAAAGTTGCTAATTTTATTAATTCTTAACTTTCAAATACTCATCTTTTTAATATTCTACGTCAGGGGTTGGCAAACTACAGCTTGCTGGGCAAATCTGGCCTGCTTCCTGTTTTTGCAAATAAAGTTTTATTGGAACACAGTCATGCCCATTTGTTTACATACTGTCTAAGGCTGCTTTCACACCACAACGACACAGTTGAATAGTTACAACACCCAACTCAAACCCAATTCAGTGATCCACAAAGCCTAAAATATTTACTCTCTTATCCTTTATAGAAAATGTTTGCCGACTCTGTTCTGTCACTAAATGGGAAGTATGCATAAAGCACCTCTGATGCCTAACAAAGGTCAAGCCTGCCTCAAAGAAAAGCAACTGTGTGTTTAAATTGTGAGCTGAACTAATCACTTTTTTCACAGACCACTGTTTTTACTTGAAAGAATGACTGACAAACTTCAAACCATGATGATTCAGACTTGGTGTTTAGCAGTTCTTTTCTCAAAAATAAAGAAAGTGGGCCTGTCACTCCAAAGAAAACAAATGACAGAACTGGTTGTCAATGATAAAATTCAGTTTTTCAAGTAAAAATTAGAATTTTAGAAAACTTGTGTCTGCCATAATAAGTTGGACGGTTTTCCAGTTCTTCAAGAGTTTTCTGATAAGACTGTTGGTGACATTAATGACTATCACTTGTTGATCTTTTATAGTGGAATGTGTCAACATTTGGAAGATGTGAGTAACTCAGTGAAACAATATTTTCCAAATGACAAGTGCACAATGTTACAAAATAACACACTCAATCCACTCAAAGTACAGACAGACAAATGCTAACGGATTTTAAGACGACAGAATACAGAAAGTTCACTAATGCGGTTTCAGATTCAACACTGCAACTTAAATTTTCAAAAATACCACTTAGAGAGCTATGGTGTAGTATCACAGAAGACTATCCACAATTTTCTGAAAAAGCTATTAAAATAGCTCTCCCTTGTCCAGTCACATATCTGTGCGAGGCCGGATTTTCCTCATCTACTTCAACTAAAACAGCATATCCCAACAAATTGAACATAGAAACTCATATAAGCTTCTGTCTTCGATTGAGACGATATTAGAGAGATATGTAAAAATATATAACAATATCACTCTTCTAGCTTTATTTTTTTGGTTTTGGAAAATATTTACCCTAAAAATATTATTTGCGTTAACACATCAATTGGCTTATTATTGTTAATTAACAATGAAAATATTTCTAAATTTTCTCAGTTTTGATTCCTAATACAGTAAATATATAACTCACATAAACAAAAGCTCTTTGAATTCCTCTATATTTAAGAGTACAAAGGAATCCTGAGACCAGTTTGAGAGCTGCTCTTCTTAGTATGTACCTAGAAAGAGAATCGCCAGGTAGTAGACTATGCACATATTTAACTTCATAAAATGTTTTGGGTTTTTTTCGCTTGAGGAAGATTGTCCCTGAGCTAACTTCTGTGCCCACCTTCCTCTATTTTGTGTGTGGGATGCGACAACAGCATGGCCTGGTGAGCCATGTGTAGGTCTGCACCCAGGGTCCGAATTCACAAACCCTGGGCTGCTGAAGCAAAGTACACGAACTTAAGCACCACACCACTGGGCCGGCCCCTGTAAAATGCTTTTACTGGGACTGGCCTGGTGGCACAGTGGTTAA